CATTAAGTAGATTACTCTGTCCTTAATCACATGCTAAATGCCTGCATCTGTGGCTGGCATCAGCTGAGTGTGAGGCAGCTGCAATCCCCACGTATATCTCCTGCTATTACAGCAGGAAATAAATTGGGTAAAGAACTCCAAGTAGTGGGTGAGAAACAAGACAATACAGGTTAAAATCTTCATTCATTTATTCAACATTGGTTAGCAATTATACTCCAGGTACTGAAAAGAGAGAAATAAGACATTCCCTTTCTTTGAAGCGCTCACTGGAAAAAAAAAAGTGCTTAGAGAATGAAAATTTCCTTGTAATTGTTTAGCCTTCACTTCTGAAACTTTAATGTGATTTTAAGTCACTTGGGTGTCATGTTAAAATGAGGTTCTGATTCAGTAGGTCTGCGGTGGGGTCTGAGAGTCTTCATTTCTAACAGGTTCCCAGGTGACACTGATGCTGCTGGTCTGGGACCACATTTTGAGCAGAAAGCATCACAATATAGTCCAGAGAGAGACAGAGACAGAGACAATAATTGTATCTTCATTTACCTCATTTCCTTCTCACACAAATGATGAGAATGAATACAGCAGGTTCTTTATGACCCTTTCATAGATTAAAAACAACAAACATTGACTCTGGGGGGAATACACTTTTCCCAAGGGTATCACAAGTGCTGAGGCTTGGATTCATTTATTCATAAGCAGTACCCCAAATCCCCAACTTAGCCCTCTATGCTGCCCTCTAACCTTAGTGGCTGATCACAGCCATGGCTCTTCAGTCTCTGGATGCAGACTTGGCATCTGCTGAGTGTGGCCTCCCAAGCCTCACAGTGACCACACTGACAGCCATAACCCCTTTCTCTGTGATTGCCCTCTGCTGACCTTCACGGGTTTGGCGGCTCCCAGGACAATGGACTGAGGACCACAGAGAGTGGAATAAGAATGGAGTTTGAAGAACACAGGAGCACTTATCACCTCTAGGTCTCGGCCAGGTCCCTGAGCACCTGCCATCCCCTCCACACTTCACTGTGTCCCTGAACAAGTTACCTGCAGACAACAAGCCACTGTCCCAAGAGGAATGGGAGAGACGTGCACTTGGTGAGCACCTGCAACGTGTAGGAGTTTGCACAAGTGACTTCCTTGAGTCATCTCATTCAAGAGGTGGAACATGAGTTACAATCTTCACTTGTACGTGTATTTATTCATTCAACACTAGTTAAGGATCAGCTATGTTCTAGGCATTGAATAGAGATAAATATAAGACACACTCCTTCTCTTTGAGGGATGCTCGAAGAGTGGGTGACAGGCCAAAAATCACCCAGCTAAGAAGTGTTGTGGCAGGAACAGGAAACCATCATCTTCCTAGCCTAAACCCATAATTTTTTCCAACTCCAATGAACCCATTGGACCAGCAGCCTTCATTATCTGAAAAGTCTATTAATAATACAGAGATTATGATTCAGTAGGTTTTGCAAGAGGCCCTATAGTTGGCATTTTTACCAACGTCACACCAAGGGATTCTGATCCTAGCAAACTTCAGATCATACTTTGAGGGATATGGCCTCAAACCATATAAGTAACGCAGGAGCACTGACCATCTTAGGCCACCCTGAGACCCTGCTTGGTGCAGAGAGAGCACACATCCTCCTACCTTGGGGAGACCGAATCGACTGGAAAGAAGAGTGCAATTATCGCATCCAGCCAGATTTGTAAGCAATATAACAAATGTTACGTCTGAAGACAGGAATGCAGCCCTGCTAGAATGCTGCAGGGCTGGCAGAGTGTGTGGGTCGGGCAGCCCGAGAGTCCCACCCTCACGCTCACATCACATCATGTTATTAAGAGCTGTGTTCCTCCGTACTGGTGTCCTGCCGTGTGATTATCACGCTGTGGCTCTCAGTCCCACAGTCCTAAGGGATGAGCCACCTGGGTCCTTATGTAGGCAGATGCCCTCAGTAAACACGCTCCTCAAGTAATTGCACAGTCTGGAGTTAACCCCAGACCTGACAGGAAATCACCTGGAGCCACCCATTAGGAAGGAGAATGGGAGCATAATGGACCCATCTGGACAGAGGAGCTGAGCCCAGATGAGGTAGGGACAACTGAGATGGTAGGAAGAGTACTGAGATGAGAATCCTGGGTTCCACACCTAACCACTGACTGCAGGATCCTCAGGAAGTCATGTCTCCTTTCTGGGCCATTGAGTCTTCATGATTAAGATCCTTTCTGGCTCTGATTTTCTGAGTCCTTGATATTATTACAGGGTGAAGACACTTGCTCAGCTTGAAATGGGAAGCCTGAGATCCACTCCTGGTTCTTTCCTTATTGTACCCTTCACTCCTGAAAACTGGTCCACTCCTTTCCCCAGAAGCCATCTGAGTTGCCATCCTGATTCCCTCCTCCCTCCCTTCATGTCTGTAGGGCTACTGGGTATCTCATAGAATCAAGAAGATTTGATTCAGAAAGGGAAAGGAAATGGGCATATTCCAAAAGCAAGAGTTTGTAGCCCCTATTTCTGCTATGCTACCATTAGCTGCTGTCAGCACCACCACCTTTATATCGTTCTGATTTAATTATTAAATTCTAGGAGACGGAGAATTTCATTGCCCAGATGGGGTTGGATGCCTAGTCCTGACTCAACCAGGTATGGCCAGGTGGACAGGGTTGCCGAAAGGAAATATGGCCGGTTACAGTCCACTGCATGTTAGAGGCAGTCTACAGAAAAGGAAGCTGCCATACTAGGGCTGAACACAATAATAATTCCTGGGGGACTCTAGCCTTTCCTGTCCTTCCAACTCTTCCTCTACCACTGACGCTCCATCCTTTCCTAGGCCTGCACGGGCTCCTGCAGGATGCAAAACTCAGTGCTCAGGACAGCACTGAGCCCTTTCACCCTGACCCTCCACAAAGCACATGCTAGCAGCTTCTACCTAGAGGTATGTTATTCACTGTGTTCCCAGAGGTCAGCCTTCACTCAGAGCTCATGAATTCTGGAGCTGGGTAAAACACTGACTGTGATCTGTCACAGCAGAATAGTCAGCTTACTGCCCTCTTCCAGGAATCCTGCCAGTAAATCTTTATGGGGCATTTATTATACTGTAAAGGTCTGTGCTCAGTGCTGTGGACAAAGGCAGGCTCAGAAGTACACAGACTCTCTCCCCAAGAAGGCCATACAGGAGAGAGAATAGAAAACAGATAACAATGTAACTAAACAGATCCCAAAAACTTTCAGGAGCCAAGCACAGAAAGCAGTGGGCAAACTTTAGAAGGGAGAGAGGTCAGTAAAGCATTTCCAGGAAAGGTGACATGGTAAATTGCTCTTAGACAAAGAGTAAAGGTCAGCCAAAAGAAAGGATGGAAGACAATTTCAGGCAGAAGGAACAGCCTGGGAAAAGGCTCAGAGGCATTCTGCAATACAGCAAAGGAAGAGCTCATCTATGTGAGGTGAACAGAGCACGTGAAGCACACAGTCCAGGGAAGTTGAGATTGGAGGGCTGGGCAGGGGTTACACCATGTTACACTGAGCAGATCCTGCTGAACCTGCTGAGCAGTGTGGAGGAGGGGATGGGAGTGGGAGACAAGGGTGATTACAGTCATCCAGGTGAGGGATGATAGAGATAAGCTACAAGGTAGAATTTAAGCTAAGACCTAGAAGACAAGAAGAAGTCAGCCATAGGGAAAGCAGAGAAAAGAGTATTCTAGGCAGAGAAACAAAAAAATACCGTGAAGTCCCCAAGGAGGGAAGATGCATGAAGCAATAAAAAGTCAGGGGGTGGTTGAAGGAAGCAAGAGCAGTGAGGTCGGTGAGGGGGGCAAACCCTGAGGTCCACCCTGTCCATGTTCTAATTTTCTTCACAGGAAAGCCTTTGGAGCATTCTTAACAGCCAATTTCCATGATCTTATTAGCATTCGTTTTTAAAGATTCTCTTATTGTGTGGCCAGTGGGATGACAGGAAGCGAGAATGCAAGTAGGAAGAACAGATAGGAGTTTATTGACATATTCCAGGCAAGAATGATCAGGATGGCCAAGGGGTAGAGTGACTTGGGCAGATTAGAAAGTTTTGGAGATAGAATTAGCAGAAATAGCTCATGAATTAGAGAAGGGGTGACCAGAAGAGAGAAATCCTGACTTGTTTGCAAGTGCAACTGAATATACAATAGCGCATTTACCAAGACGGGGAAGACAGGCAGATGAGCAAGGTCTGATTTTGGGGGTGGTTAGAGGAAATATAGAAATCAAGGGCTCTCTTTAGAATGTGTTCTGTTTGAGACGCATTTTAGATCTCTAAGAGGAGATGTCACCTAGCAGATGGTTACATAGTTTTCACTCTATGGCTAGAGACAAAAAGTTGTATCTGGCTATTTCTCAGCTCTCATTTTACCTGCCCTGTCTTGCTACATCAGATACAGTTGTTAACCTTTTCCTTCTTGAAATATCTTCCTACCCCACAACCTCCACCATCCAGTCCCACTGAAATCCCCCTGCTTTTGATTTATCTGAAACCACATTCTCTCACAGGCTGGTAATAATCTCATGGACTAGTCCGACTCAATTTTCTCTTCTTCTCTGTCTTAAAATGTTGGTGAGCCACAGTTATGATCCCAAATCTCCTTTGTTCTGTCTCACATTCTGTCTAGATACCTCCAGTACCTCCAGTCCCATGTCTTCAAATGCCATTTATATGCTGTATCTGATGTAGCAGATAGGGCAGGTAAAATGTGAACTGAGAAATAGCCATTAGATTTATATTCTAACCCTCTAAGGGTTGGCCCACAGTAGATGCTCAATAAATATAAGTTAAATTCAGTGACTGAAAGACCTAGCCCAGGAATGGCAAATATAGAACACTTTTAGTTTCTAGGTTATCAAAATTATTGCCTTTTTGAAAAAAAATAATTGATGCTCAGCCTCAGAATCCCTCAGCACTATCGAGTAATTGGAATTGTCATGCAAATTTAATCTATTTGCCATTCCTGGTATAGACTCAACAATCAGAACAGGACTTTACCTCAGAGTCGTTCAATGGAGCCTCATTAGCACAGCTTCAGGAGGAAACACAAACCATCTGCCAAGGTCTTGCAGGGGGAATTCCTGCTCTGGTGGGGACTGAACCAGGTGATCGGGTGATCGCTGAGGCCCCTCAGAGAGTCTGTGGTTCAGATGGCAATTCTCTCTAATATGCAGCTGTTTAAAGTACAAAGAGAAAAATCCAACCCACCCTAGGGTTAATAAATGCAAAATAAATCTTCCCTAAAACTTCTTCCTATGCATTTTTTCTCCCTCTGCTCTTTACCAGCCTCCTGAAATGTCTTATCTGCAAAGGCATGATTCTATTCTAAATCTCTATCAACACAATTACCATTTTTCCTTCTTCCACACGGTAACATTAACCTAACTTACCCATTCAGCCATAGGCAGACTGTCTTCATCTCTAAATGATGCACTCCCCCACATAATATAAAGACAGACAGTTTTATTCTTTAGTCCAAAGTACTTACCATTATGGAGAGACATCTGCTGCAGACAAATCTTGAGTCTTTGGAACCTTAATACTTTGAAATTTATTCCTCTTCACCACCTGGAGGCTCATGAGTCCATTTGTGGCCTTTCCCACCTAATGCTGCCTTGCAAGCTAATGAGCAGTTGGTTCATAGGCATGCAAGTATAGCACCTCTATTAGGACTCTTACATCCATATTGCAGTTGAAAGAGCAAAAAATTAACCACCAGAAGTGTCTCAGTGTCCTCTATCTCCTGTCACCTTTATTCAATACTTCAATGAACATGTACTGCATGTCAAATTCCATGTTATTTTCTAGAATAGAATCTAGAGGTACAGGGAGGAATAAGATTTGATTTTCTTTCCCACCTGGAGCTCATAAATGGCCTTTACAAGTTCTTTATGTCCTTCTGAAATGATATGCAAAATGGTTGTGTGTGTGTGTCTGCCTCCAGAAAGAAGTTTATAATTGTCATCAGATTTAAAATCCTGAAGGGCTAGGGATTCATGGGAATCTAAAGTCAGCTTTGACACTTCCCTTCCCGTCATCCCTAATGACATACAAACTAATCACCAAAGATTGCCAGGTTTGCTGTCTTTCCCCCCAAATTGTTCTAGATCTATCTCCCACTGTCCATCCCCCACCTTAGTTCAAGCTATCCTCATTTCATTAGCTAACAGTCTCCCACATGGTGTCTCTGCCATCCTCCAATCTATTCTCCACACTGAAGTGGGAGCATATTTTCAGCTCTCTAATCTGATCCTTTCGATCTCTTGCTTAAAACCTTTTAATGGCTTCCCACTGCTCTGAGCATAAATGCCAAGCCATAAACTTTCTCATGAGCATTTACAATCATCACACATTGTTCTTTATTATTCTCTTCACTCTGTGAACTCCAGCCTCATCCAACTTCATTCTCATCTTTAAATTCTCTTTCAGCTCTCCTGCCATGTGGTTTGGGCACATTCTGCAATCTCTACCTGAAAGGCTTCTTTTCCTCTCCCTTCACCAAATTATATTGTAATAATCACTTCTACCAGCCACTTCCCCTGACCTCCCTGACTAGGCTAAATGCACTATTGTAAAACCTCCTAGCTCCATAAACTTCATATTCTTTGTCCAAGTTAGAATTGTGCAGGCTTGATATGATTAATATTTATCCCTCAGCAAAGCTGACTAGGCATCATTGCATCCTAGGGCTTAGTGGAACACTGGGTACACGGAAGGCAAAAGTTTGATTAATACTCAGTGAATGAACAAATGAAAAACTGAGTGGGTGAATAAAGAGGCAATGTAGCAGATGCTAAAATAAAAGGAAGCACTGAGCATTGCCACAGCACAAAATAAAGGGCACATGTCATTAGGAGATCATAAGGGCAACAACTGCACCTCCTATATCTTTAGTGTCTATTCCAGAGCTTATGATGCATGTATGTATGAAATGTACATTGAATGAAAACATGAAATAGCAACTAACTCTACCTGGGTGAGTGACAGGAGGCTTCAAGAGGATTTAGCATTTGACATCAGTCATAAAGGAAAACTAAAAGTATTCAGATCAAAGGGAAAAAGAGGCAGGCAAGGGGCATTTCAGACAGAAGAAAAGGCAGGTACAATGGCATGAAGCCACAGAAAAGGAGGAAAAGTTCTTCGCAGAATAAAAGAGATTAGGTGAAGCAAACACGGAGATGTGCTTCCTGGGCCCTCCTCCTGATTCCCTCCTGGGAGGGAAAAATGTTGTTTTCCCAAATGCTAGAAGCATTTGCAGAGAAGCATCTCCAGCAGTCAGCTCCTTAAGGGTGGCCTGAGCTACAGAGAGCCATCTTACCCATGGTCACACCATTCCAGGAGTGACCACTCCCCACCACTGCTCAGACATTTGGGTCCACTGAGGGACAATCTTAGCAGCTCTTTTTCTCCAGAGCTCCCACTGGGGTAGGCAGAGGCCACCACTGGTATTGCATTACTATGGTTTAACTCCTCCCTCTACCCTTCCTTTCACAGGTGTTGATCTCACCTGAACACCAAACTCTGTACTTGAGTCTGCTTCTCAGAGAACCAGACTGAAAGCCTGGGTTATGCCATGAGTGGGCTTATGTAGAGGAATCAACTAAAAAGGTATTTGAGAGCAGGATGGCAAGGGTTCTGCAATGCATGCCAATAGATATGAACTTATGCAGCTGACAGTGAGAGACCAGGGGCCTTGTAAGAAGAGGGTGCTGAGTTTAGAGTCTTGTATTGGAAAGACTTCTCTGGCTGCTGTACAATGACTCTATTAGAAGGAGGCAGAGAGGCCTGCTGAAAGACCGTTGGATTTGTCCAGGAAGGTGAAATGTGAGTTCCAAGATGGAGAAATAATGGGTCGTGGAGAAGAAGGGTGGTGTTGAGCAATTTAGGAGGAAAAATCAAAAGTCCCTCATAACACGTGACTGTGGGGACAGAGTAAGGATGAATGGATAATGACACAGAGAGGGTGTGCTAATTCATTCCTAGGTGTGGCAGGGAGAGAACTCCTAATTTAAAAATTTCAACTTAGAATAGGAGTTCTTTCTTTTAAAGCCTTTTCCAAGGCACTCCATGTAGCATAGAATTCAAATGGTAACCAGGACTCTCCCAGAGCTTAAAATACATAATAAGCCAGCAAAGTCTTATACAAAAAGCAAAGTCATTAGCAAAGTTTGTGTTTATTCATCAGTTAAGATCTTGGAACTTTTTGCCTGATATCATTAGTCATCATGCTTGCTAAAGAACATTATTCTGTTAAACAGACAGGGATTCAAATAAAAGGAGCAAACGTATGAATATGCAAGAAGGAAGGCCATATTATTAATACAGAGTGAAGCAGAACCTGGCAGGATTATCCTTCATTCAACAAGCATTTATTGAGCATCTTCTACATGCTAACCATTATGCTAGGGGCTGGGAATACAATGATGAGCAAAAACCTGCAGATTTCACACCACAAAGCAAGCACATATCTGGAGAAATTTAACATAAATTAATTATGTGTTACTGGTTCCAGCATGCCCCTCTTCATCCATTTAGTTCAAATGTATTCCTACAGGTCCTACTTTTGCACTGAAATTTCTTTTCATGTTTTGTCTCATTCATTGTGGCATAATAGAAAGAGTAGACAGGAATGCCAGTTGCCTTACTAATCATGTGACCGTGAGTAAATTCAACACCCTTCCAATGGGGCCAATTATACCAATCTCCCAGGTATGCTTGAAAATGCACTAAGATACTATGTACAACAGTCAGTTAGGTATACAACATATCATATAAGCCTTTATGTGAATTCAACTATACCAAATGGAGATGGGAATGAGGGTAAAAGAGAAGTAATAATTTAAATACGTAACTACGGCTAACTACATAATTTGCAGGGCCCAGAGAAAAGTGAAACTGAGAGACTCCTTATTCAAACATTAAGAATTTCAAGATAGTGATAGCAGAGCATTGGGCCAAGCACAGGGTTCTTCTGAGTGTGAGGCCTTTTGCAATGCCACAGAATGTACAACCATGAAGTCAGCCCTGGACTTTTCTTATTCCCATATCCCAGTGGTTCTTGGTTCCCATGTATATCTAATATGTTAATAAGTTCTGCGATTAATATGATCTCAATACTAAAATATATGTTTTGTTTACTTGATTTTTGTTTACTGTGGCCACTAACCAGAAGCAACCTTATTTTCATGTCCATAAAATCATATATGCAGTCATTTAGCTTACGGAATTTTCAAGGGTAGTTGTATTAGTTCATTTTCATGCTGTTGATAAAGACATACCTGAAACTGGGAACGAAAAGAGGCTTAAGTGGACTTGCAGTTCCACATGGCTGGGGAGGCCTCAGAGACATGATGTTAGGCAAAAGACATTTCTAACAAGGCAAAGGCAAGAGCTAATGAAGAAGAAACAAAAGCAGAAACCCCTGACAAACCCATCAGACCTCATGAGACTTAGTCACTATCATGAGAATAGCACAGGAAAGACAGGCCCCCATGATTCAATTACTCCCCCACCCGCCGCCGGGACCCTCCCACAACATGTGGGAATTCTGGGAGATACAATTCAAGTTGAGATTAGGATGGGGCACAGCTAAACCGTATCAGTAGTTTTTACACCATTTTCTCGCTACACACTGGCTTACTACAGCCTGCAGGAGGTGAGAGCTCACCATAGCTGTCATTTCTCCTGAACCTTTGACTGTAGGAATCAACCTGTACCTGAGTCTGGATCACATGCTTTGCAGTGAGAACTTCATTCAAGCCACACAGCAAGCCAGCAGGATAAATAATAACATCCTCATTCTCTAGAGGAGGGGAAAACAGAGCCTCAGAGCAGGGAAGCAATTTCCTTAAAGTTACCCAGAAAATAAGTGGCAAATTTGGTATTCAAATATGGGTCTTTGGAGCTCACAGTCCACATTCATTCACTGATGTCTTAATAAATGTTTGTTCCTTCCAACTCTCTTCTGCAAATCTTGCCCCAACCTTTTGAAATGAAGAATTATTTGGAAAATGAGAAACCTGATTTTCTGCATCCTGGTAGCAAAGAATGGTTTGCCAATTCAGTTCAGGCACGTAACGCCAGAGGCAGAGCAACAGGAGAGCCTGGAAGTCTGACCTGTGCTTCTAGAGCTCTGATTGCCACATGATGAAAACTCAGGGCTGACATCACTAGTCTCCAGCCTCCCAAACATGAGCCCAGGTGGAGAGAATGCTATAAGGGAAAAAAAAAAATAAAGGTCATTTTAGAGTGAATGATAGGTATAATTAACGTTACTGACAATGAAAAGCTTAGTTGCTGAGAGACAAATGAGTCATCAGTGAGCTTGATGTTGAAACGACATGCCATCTTGTTGCTCAAATACTTACCTATTAGGGAAAAAAAAAAGCAATTTCCGGATCAATGCACACAAAATTCTGGGTTGAGAACACTAAGTAAAAAGTGGAGAAAAAAAATGCTTGTGTGTTCTATTTTCCACTTATGCATGTGCACAGCCACATTTATGCATAATTTTGGGTTTATCATTCCCCTTTATGAGTTTTTATTGTCTCAATGTCTTAGCATGAAGGCCGTTCATAATCTGACCTTATCTTCCCTTCCTATGATCGCCCTCCCTAGTCTCTTCTCTAACCATCCAAATATTGCTTTGACATTCCAGATGTAGCTCTACCTAAACATGAAGACTGGCCTGGTCTCTGAATCAGAAATGCAGGCCATGAAAAGGCATGACCTGTTTGTTGAATGATGAGAAATTCAATGTATTCCCTAATTTTACTGGGTATGGCCTCATTCACCTCTCCACCTGGCAAGCATGTCCTCTCCGTATTGAGTCAATCAGTTCTTTCTCCAGGTGTCCTCAGCACTTAGTTCATACGTCTATTATTGAGCTCAACATGATGCATTGCATTACATATCTCTCCATCCCCCTAATATCTGATGTATCACTGAATTAACACATGGGGGCATCTTCCCCATTAAACCATGGGATTTGTGAGAGTAACATCTTTATATTGCTCATCTTTGCACGTCCCTCTGTGCTTGGCATAATATTTTGAAGAAAATATGTGCCCAATAAATATTAACTAGATGTATTTGCCTCCATAAAAATTGCTTTTAATGATTACAAATTTGGCATTTGGTACCTCTTGTAAACAGAGGAAAGCTGATTATTTGATAACACAAAGATCTTACCAGACTGCAGGAGAGGTGTGAGGAAAAATATGTTCTGAACTGACACAGATGTTGCTGAATTAATAATTAAAAATTGCATGGAATGTATAAATGATAGAATATAAAATGTCAAGGGGCAACGCAATGGTCTGCTTCCAATTGAAAAAGAATCGTCTGCTCCACTAATGAAGTAGTCATTAGACTTGGCCATAGGAAATTAATAGCTACCTTCCTGTAGTGACTTGCCATGTTCCAACTATTTGCTGAGCCCTTTTGAATATTATCACATTAAATCCTCTCAACAGCCCTGTGAAGAAGGTCGTACTTGTATTATTCCCTTCCATTTTCCTTTTTGGAGATTAAGCTTGGGAGAAGTATGATAATTTGTCTAAAATTGCAGAGCTAGTAGATGAAAGAACTGGATTCAAATCAAAATATGTTGCTTCCAAAGTCCATACTCTAAACTAGTCTGCTCTGTAGGTAAAATAAGGATGTCAGGTGATGTTTCTCAGCTCAATGAGAAAGAGAATCATCTATTTCATAGACTTCCGTCTCTTCATCCCACAAGAGATAAAACTGAGAGTCAAAATGATAAAGGAATGCAGGATCTTAAAATCTCATGGCTGAATTGAATGTTAAAATTCATCTAGTCAAATATTCCTACATCCACCTGCTGACGATGTCTAACAAGTTTGTTGAGATCAAATTCATACATCATACAACTCACCCAGTTTAAATTATAATTCAGTAATTTTTTTTTTTTTGAGACGGAGTTTCACTCTTGTTACCCAGGCTGGAGTGCAATGGCGTGATCTCGGCTCACCGCAACCTCCGCCTCCTGGGTTCAGGCAATTCTCCTGCCTCAGCCTCCCGAGTAGCTGGGATTACAGGCACGCGCCACCATGCCCAGCTGATTTTTTTTGTATTTTTAATAGAGACGGGGTTTCACCATGTTGACCATGATGGTCTCGATCTCTTGACCTCGTGATCCACCCACCTCAGCCTCCCAAAGTGCTGGGGTTACAAGCGTGAGCCACCGCGCCCGGCCCCTCGTATGTTGATTACCACAATTTAATTTTAGAACATTTCATCACCCCCTCAAAGAAACCTCATATCCATTAGCTGTGCTCCACATCCCAGCCCCAACCCCAGGCTTAAGCAACCACAAATCTGTCTCCATGGATTTGCCTATTCCAGATATTTCATAGAAATTGAATCATACAATATGTGGTCTCCTGTGCTTGGCTTCTTTCACTTAGCCTAATATATGCTTTTGAATATCTTGAAGTCACCTCAATACATAGCAGCAAACTTTTGGCAGCAACAATGAGTGGTTGGTGGGTGAGGCATATTTCCCCCAAGTAATCTTCATTAGCCCCATCCCATAAGCTACCCCAAAATAAACATAAAATCTAAATTAGGAGAGTATGTTTGATATTTATTGTGGTTTGAATTGTGTTTCCCCCTAAAATTTGTATGTTGAAGTTAATCCCAATATCTCAGAATGTGAGCTCATTTGGAAATACAGGCTTTACAGAGGCAATCAAGTTAAAATGAAGTCATTACTGTGGGTTCATATGATGGGTGTCCCAGTCACACAGGGAGAATGCCAAGTGAAAACTGGGTTTATGCCACGACAAGCCAAGAAACTATCAGAAGTTAGGAAAGAGGCCCAAAACAGGTCCTTCTCTGAGATGAAACCAACCCTGCTAATGGCTTGATTTTGGACTTCTGGCCTCCAGAACTGTGAGAGAATCCACTTCTGTTGTTCAGGCAACTCAGTTTGTGGTACTTTGTTGTGGCAGCCCGAACAAACTAATACATTTAAACACAGCTTCTCCACAAATTTCCTACTCATCTTCTCCCTGACAAGTACATTGCTACCCTGAGGCTCCTCCTCAGGCAAAATCTGAAAGTCAACATTTCTTTAAAATCAAATCCATGAGATTTCCACCTAAGCCTGGCCTTCTTCCAGAGCTCCCTACTTTAGGCAATGGCAACACTCTCCAAACAAATATGCAAGCCAGAATTCTAGAATCATCATTGTCTTCTCTTTTATGCCTACTTTCTCACCACACCACACACACACACACATGCACACACACACGTTTTAAGTCAAGAGTATTTCGCAAGAGAATTCTATCAAGACTGTGAAGACAAATCAACCAAATACCTTTTAGAATGTTCCAGATCATGAAAGCCTAAACCTCGCCATTCCTTCATAAAGCCAGAAAAATATTAGCATCTGAAAAAACAAAAGAACAAAAAGAAAATAATAGAAGCTTAATAAAGAATCTCTATACAAACCCTAGCTAAGATAGTAGATTGCATAATCCATGGGTGTTTAAAAGAATAATATAGCATGACCAAATACAAATTGATTCAGGAATGCAAGCATACTTCCTTTTACTCTACTGGCCCACAATGTTATCATACGAGAAAATTAGAAATGGCCAACATGATTTGCCTGTTAAAACACTTCATTGCACTTTATAACCTCATCTACTCTCAATATTTTAAAATATTTTTTCATTTTTTTTCAGGAATCATTAAAAGTCCTTTGGCACCAGGGACCATGTTTCCCCCCTCCCTTTTAAATACACTAATGGCTTTGCCAAACTTTAATCTACTGAAATGTCTGTCTGCACAGAGTCTCTTGCCAATATAGATGTAGAAAACAGGCTCACTGCCAACATCTAATGGAGGCAACCCATTATGTAATAGTCAGAAACAACCTTTCTCACCTAGGAATTTGAGTTTGAAAGCCAAAAATACATTTCCTGGAAAAAAATTTTGAAAAATTATGTCAGGGCTGAAATTCAACCCAACTCAATGTACTGCTATGATTATCTATTGCTATGTAACAAAACTACCCAAAATAAAATCATCTATTATTGTCCTGTGGGTCCACTGGGCTCCACTGGTAGGTTCTTCTGTTGGCTCATGTGGTTGTAGTTGTTTGGTCATTGAGCTGACTTAAAGGCTTTCCTAAACTATGGCCCCCAGATGGCTCACACACATGGCTGACAGTTGATATGTGCTGTTGGCTGGGAGCACAATAGAGGTCATTGACCAGGGTGCCTGTTGCAACTTGGGGCATTCAAGGCTGTCAGGTCAGCTCAGGACTGCAACAGGCACAGCAGCCAACGGCTGGCTGAGATGGTCTCATTGTTGTCTCCATTACATCCTCTATAACACAAAGATACATCATTGAAAGCCCTTTAGACTCATGGAAGAATCCTATGACATCTAGAAGTCTTGTTCTTTGTCCTGTGTGAAGACCTCTAGAACCACCTTCTGACATCCTTGGAGGCTAGTTAAGTAATTGGCTTTCAGTTGGTCAAGCCTGAGTTCCCAACTGAGTAGTTTTGTCAACTTTCTAAACCGCTTCTGTACGCCACCTCACAAAGTTGTGGTAAGGTTAAAGAAGAATAAAATGTGTGTGGTACTTTGTACACTGCCTGGTATATGATGATATGTTAATGAGTGGTATTATTAATATTGCCATTAACATGGCCATCATTGTTTGAAGGGAAAAGAAAGGCTATATTTGAAATAAAAGAGACTATTTTATATTTTGAGCATGGATAGACTAATATACCATATTATGTCCCTCTTTTATGTTGTCATGGGTTCTGTTTTTATATAAAAGGATCAATGACACATTCAGCTTACATTATCTCATTTTTTCTTGTCTGAACATATATCTTACTCTGTAGATAGTAAAAAAAAATTATAAAAAGGAGAAGGGGTGTATGTGCATATGTTGCATATGTGTTTGTGTGTCTACATTCTGGGGATACTTACTTAGATGAAATGAGACCCTTATCTGTCTTTGAAACCTCACTTATCCTTGAGGCCTCCTTTGCCTGTTAATTTCCTGGTGCAAACTTCCCCTCCCAAACCTCCCTACAGGTGTCTCTTTCCTTGATATCACACAGTGTGGCTGTACCTCTGTCAGAGCTCTCACTATAGCTTGAGTTGTGTTGAGGGACCTGGGCATGTGTTATTGTCCCCAGTGGGCCAAATGCTACTTGGAAGCAAAGACTGACCACCCCCCCCACCATGAATCTCTTCACCCTGATTCAATCACTAGCTCTAGTACATGCCAAATAGTTGTCTGTTGAATTAAATGTGGTCCAACTTCCTCATTTTATGGTTGAAGGAACTCAAACCCAGACAGATCTAAGACTTGCCTAGGGTCACACAGCCAAGCCAGAACTAGAATCTCAGCTCCTTCTTCCCCAGTAAGTGCCTGTGTGCTCTACCAGCCAATGCTGTGGCCTGCTGGGACATGTGGGGCAGGTGGACAGTGGGACCCAAGGAACAAGGTATGTTTGTCTGCACATGGGATTGTAGACAGGTTCTCTGAGGACACTTCATAATAGCCTTCCCACCACAAGCCCTAACTACTGGTGTGGACCCATGAGGAACAGCATGGCCTACATTGAGAACAGAGTTTTACAGCTGGAAATGGCAATGACAACAGACATTGGAGATGGCATAGCAGAAAGGCACTGGACCCAGAGTTGAGCAGGTCTGGGTTTCAATTCTCTTTCTTCTGCTTCTAGCTGGTTGATCATATGTAAATCACTTCTCTTTTCTGAGTCTCAGTTTTCTCATCTATTAAGTGAGAGTTATAACATCTACTTGGAAGGCACAAAATAAGTGACCAGCACAGGAGGCCATTGTGTATTAATATTTTTGACAATAACAGAGTGTTCTGATTGTCCATAAATTCAGGTTTGCTGTCACACCAAATATCTATCCACAATTTCCTCTTCTCTGCCCCTGTATATAAGGCCAAGAGGCCTTAGCCCTTTGCTTCCTGATTGCATAAGGCCTTTTACTGGAGTTCTTAAGGAATCAACTTTGGAGAGGCTCTAAGTGTCTAGGAGTGGAGACGCCTTCCACCCTAGGAGTTCCTGGCTACTTGAGGATTTCATATTCCCTTTCAACCTCTTCTCTAGACTCTCTGTCTGCTACATATTTGCTTGAAAGAGACATTCGAATAAGGCATTTATCAAAGGACAGTATATTAAACAAGGTACCACTATATACTTGTGCTAGGCACCCAGAGAAAAGCACCATTAGTAAGATTTAGAAGTGTTTACTACCTCTCGGAAAAGATGATACTTAAGCTGTGCTTGACGGAGGGGTACAGCTAGTATCAAGGGGTTGGTCAACTCATGTGTGGTAGTTCTCAATAAAATGAGCAGGATACAGTGTAGGTGCTACAGAAAGATAGCATGGTATGGTATGAAGGTTGGGCATAGTTTAGATGGATGCTGGAAAGCTGCAAGGATGACCCCAGTTTTTCCCCTGCCCCCTACCCACTTTCTTTGCTATGCAACTTTGCAGTGCCCTCTTACTCTGATAATGGCCAGGACATGCTCATCTGGTGATAACAGAGGCACAGAAAAGCAAAGCCCAAATTTCAAGGCCATTTGAAGATACAACTTTTTTCAGATCTGCTAACAACTCATTGTCCAAAGCAAGTGGCATGGTTTAGTCCACTCTCAAAGAATGAGACAAAAAAGTGGCATGAGTGAAATAGGCCCTGCGAGCCAACAGATGTGTACACAATGGTACAGAGAGGAAGACCAAGGTTCAGCTAGCTCCCCTAGCCTGCTAGCTCCTGTCTTCCTGCCCAGCCAACTTTCACTCATCTGCACAATAGAAACTGAGGGAAAGGCATGGTACAGGATGCTTTTGATCTCTTGGAAGTTCTATTTCCTCCCTCTCACTCATTGTGACTTGAATAGGTCACTGTATCCTGCTTGTCCTCCTTCATTTGTCTTTAAAGTAAATCTTTGCTCTCAACTCATCCCATTTTTTTAAGAGCTCAGTGAACACAGGACACTCAACAAATTGCCAGTGGCTCCTTATGACCAACCAATAAATTCCAAACTCTTTAGCTAGACAATCTAAGAACTTTCTAACCTGTAAGCTATTTATATTCTGATTTGTATTGGGGCTATTTCCACAGAAATCTTATCTTTACTACTCAAGTGTTAGCTTCTTCACAGAAGGGATTGGAAGTTATCTAGTACTTATCAGAGAGCTCCTCTTATAACAAGCACTTAATATATTTTTGACTCTGTGTTAAGATAAAGCACTGAACAGCTTCAAGACATGATGAATGTAATCATCTCCGTAGTAGACAGAGCACTCGGCTTGGAGTTAGAAGACCCTGCTCCAGGTACTGATTGCTTCTTGCCACTTGGTGATGTTGGAAGCATCATTTATTCTCCCTGAGTGTCAGTAATCTTAACTGATAGAAGGAAGTGATAATTGCTTATTGTAAAAAATGAAATGGCAAATAAAGAAAAAAAAGTTGCAGTATAACTTAGAAAGAAATGTCACTAGAATTGTTATTCAAACCAAGTTTGTCACTACCAGACCTATGATAATGCAGAGTTTAGTAGGGCTTTCTTTCCACTAAACTCAGTTAAACAAATGATCTTTTGCAAAGCTAAAGTCATAATTTTATTTCAACAAGTTATAGGTCTTAAAACTAGAAGTAACATCAATGAGTGAAAGGTTTTAGATGAGATAGATGAATGGGATTTGTTAGAGGTAAAAAGTAATGGGGAAGAAGGTATCATTATGCCCACTTTACAGCCCATGGATGCCAAATGATTTATACAAGCTAGCAAGCTATAAACCAAATATTGTATTAAATATCTCAGGAAGGAATAAATATATATATATATATTACACACACACACAGCCATGTTTAGTTACTCACAGAGCATAAGAAAAATTTCTTGGACTGCTTCAGGCTGTCAAGATATGAATCTCCCAAGGAATAGTGTTGAAGTGAAGGAACCTTTCACTAATGGCAAAGTCAGCCAAGAATTTCCCATGTGAAAATGTATTAGTAACCAACACAATTTGGCATCATTGCAGAAATAAAGACTTTTGACTTATCCTATCAGGAAACCAAGCTCACCAAACTTATGAGAGTCTTGATATAGTCTAAACCTTTCACTCCACTGGATACCCAAAGCTCAGGTGGCTTTACAATGGAGAGACTCTCTATCTCACCAAATAAGCCTTTTATTGCTTTGAGGAGAGATTGCAAGTGCTGAGAGAGGAAGAGGAGAATCATGGGTGCAATAAGGAGTTCTACTTTCTATCCTATGCTTTTTTCCATTCAGGTTTTGCAGATATCTTGTTCAAAGTAGTTCCATTTCCTCTTGCAGTTTCCTCCTAACTGCCTCTGAGATCTCTGCTGGCAAAAGAGGGAGTGACTCTAAATAGCCCAGGCAATGTTCTTAATGGTCATTCAATTTAAAACTCCAACTGTAGCTGTACCTCAGCCATAGTGGCCTTGTACCTCTTGGTTAGGAACAGCCTTGACAGTAAGTAAAGGATATGGCTGCCTTCATATCAACAAATGGAAGGCTTGAGCAGGCCTTTTGGTGAGGAAACATTTCCCTTTTACCTACGTCTGCCTGAAATTCATTCAGTACTCAGATGATCTTAAAGATCATCTGACCAATCATCCAAATTTCCAAATAGGGAGGCAGAGTCCCAAAGAGGTGAGGAAACTTGCCCAAGACTATCCAGCAAATTAGCAGCAGAGTAAATACAGAGTAAATACAGAACCAAGTTCTCACCACCCTAGTCCAGCCCACTTTCCGGGAGTCCACACTTGACTCCCCAGTTGCTTAGTCACAGCATCTCAGCATGGATTGGTGGAGCTCATAAGCCACCTCCCTGGGCTGGACACTAAAGGGAAAGGTGAGTCAGAAGTGACCTCCACCCACTATGTTTGCTCAGTCTACACAGAGGTATAGAAAACAAAGACAAACAGAGCCCAGTGGAGTAAGTGCTTCAGTGGAGGCTTGCTCAAGTGCTAGGGGAGAACAAAAGAGAGAAAACTCCCTATGGGGAGACAGAGTTGAAGAGGCCTCTGTGAAAAGACAGCAACTGAGCTGACTTTCAAAGGACAAATGCATGTAATGAGAATATAAAGGAATATATATAATGAGTTATATATATACAATCAGTTGTGTTCATAGAACCCTGAGAAGGCTCTATATACCCCATCTCTTGAAGACAAAAGGATGAGAAATTCTAGAAATGGACCAAAACCAGATCTTGAATTACCTTCTATATCATGATAAAGGACATGTGTTTTAACTGCGAGGCAAGGGGAAGTACACTAGTTTGCTAGGGATTCCATTAACAAAGGACCACAGACCTAGTAGCTTAAGGGACAGAAATGTATTGTCTCATAGTTCTAGGGGCTGAAAGTCTGAGAACTGGGTGTCAGCAGAGTTGATTTCTTCTAAGACCTGTGAAGAAGAATTTTTGTCATGCTTCTTTCCTAGCTTCTGGTGGTTTGCTGGCAATTATCCCAATCTCTGCACTCACCTTATGCACTCTCCCTGTGTGCATGTCTGTGTTAATATTCTGCTTTTGTATAAGAACACTAGTCAAATTGGATTAGTATTCTTCCTAATGATTCTAATGTGATTATCTCTGTAAAGACACTGTCTCCAAATGAGGTCACATTCTGAGGTACTGAGGGGTAATACTCCAACATACCTGTTTGGAGGGACACAACTCATTTGGTAACAAAAAGTGTTTGAAGAGGGGGAATCTCTTAGATATGCATGCAAGGTTGAACATAATGTACACCATACGGAAGATAGATTGGAAAGAAGTATGTCTGGAGGCAGCAAGACCAGATTTAGTGTCCAGGTAAGAGGGCATAAGAGCTAAATTCTCAGCAGCAGTAGCAAAATATAGTGGAGGGCTTCAGGTCAACAGATTGCTAGCTAACTCTTTAGGTAGCCACTAACAGACCAATCTAATGCTGGAGATGAGGGAGAGTGAGATATTTAACAGGTCTCTGAAGCTTTCAGCTTGAGTAAATTGGAAGAATGGTGACACCGTCTACTAAAAAAATGAAAAGAAGGAAAAGAGCAGATTTTAGATAAGGGAGACGAATTTTAGTCTCAGGATTCTTGAGTCAAAATTGTCCACATGCATCCAAGTAAAAATATTGAGTAGGCAGCTGGAAGTACGAGAAAGAATGGGATTTTTTTTTGCCACAGTTATTTCAGAGGACCTACTAAGTAAGTGGCAGTTGGCTGAGCTTTTGAGATATAAATGTGAATGACAGCAGCCATTCTTACCTGCATAACTAATCCCTCAGCTCTGTTTTCTGCTTTCTTCATGGCAAATTCCTGATTTTGTTCAAATGCTTGTTTGCCCATGTGCTCAAGGAAGACAGCTCTAGCCTAGACCCAGGAAGAGAAAAGAAAGGAAGGAAGGAAGGAAGAAAAGAAGGTTAGGAGGGAGAAGAGGGAAGGAAGGAAGGGAGGAAGGGAGGGGTGAAAAATAAGAGGGAAATAATAAGAAAGGAGAAGAAACTAGAAAAAAGATTCTGTTTAATGAACCAAGAAAGTCATTAACTTACAAAGTTGATAAAATCTCAAGTGAACATCTGATTTAGCCCTCTGATTTCAGAAGGGTCAGATATTAATAGGTCTATTTTAAAGCCTTCATATCTGGTGTTTCTACTCAAAAAAAGATTTGCATTCTATCCTTTTTTTCAGCCATTCTTTTAACCTACTCTCCCTGCTCTTTCTCTTTCCTGTTTTTTCTTTCCAATTTTTAGACATCCAAAAGTTGCTTTTTTTTTTTCCTTTTCCCACTCACATTTCCTTATGTCACTTTCTTGTCCAGGAACATGGCTTTCACTTTGGTATATAGTATTAAATATGTCTTAACAAGAAGAGAATACAGGGAGGAGAGTTTGAAATCCACGAAGTGTGATTTGTGCATAGGAATGATATACTGACTACAAAGAGATGGTTGAAAAGATTGAGTCAAGTTGGAGCCATTTTTACTAGTAAGGAAGCATCCATGGCCACAAAGTCAGCTTAGAAAATGCAATGTTCTCATACTATTCCTCTGCCCCTTGCCCAGTGCAGACATAACTAATCCATCATGGTACTCATTTTCATTTGACACTAGAATCAGCCTTAAGTCCCTTCTCTTTGTATCTCTTTAGGTAGCCACTAACAGTAGCCAATATGGCATGCATGATGAAATATTTTGCCAATCTGGACCCAAAGTCTACAGTAGGCTGAAGCAAGAGGATTTAGCAATTGGGTTGAGATCTCAAATGAATTGTCTATGTTACATAATCATGCATTCATTTACCCATTCCACAAGTTTTTATTAAATGTCATCTCTATATGTTGAACACTGTCATAAATAAGGCACAGTTGTTCTAGGAATTGGGCTAGTTATTGAGGTAGGTAAGTTAGCAAATCTTCACCATCTTGGATTATGGACACTTAGCTAGAGTTAACCTACGTAGGTTCTGGAAGCATAGAGTAGGTCCCCCAAACCCAGCCTTGGTGACAGTAGAAGTGAATGGTACCCTTTGGGATTGGGCAACACTGCAACCCCAGCTTACAGTATAGACAGAGTACTTTACCCACTTCTATCTTCTGCTGTTCCTACCACATTAGCATTTCTTTTTGCCCATTCTATGCATATCTCACTGTATGGAGCTCCATTAGTTCCGGTGGCAGCTGTTCACTCAATAATTCATTCATTCAGCTGATCATTCTACAATATTGATTGAGCCTTCATTAGGTATCAGATACAACACTGATTGAACTTTCATTAGGTATTAAAAAAGGGGTTCCTTCTTAACAAAACAAGGTCTCTATGCTGAAGGTGCTTATATTTTACTAAGAAAAGGCACATAATAAATAAATCAATAAGAAAAACATTAGATTGTGATGAGTTCTGGGACATAAGTAAAACAGAATGATGTAACCAGGCCCATTTTCATTTCAGAGGTCAGTGAAGTCCCCTAAGGAGATAACATTTTAGGAGAGACCTGAATGATGAGAAAAAGTCAGACAGGCAAAGTTCCTGAGAAGTCTGTGGCAAGCAACGGAAACAATAAACACAGGGGGCCTGTATCCTTTCCATGCAGCTTCTGCATCCAACCTTATTGCCTCTTTGATCACTTGGCCCAGTGACAGACCTCAAGATACCCAGTGACTTTAAGAACAATGCCATGATCACCCAGCTTCTCTGTAATACATTCTTTATCACATCACCATTTTAATCACCAATTTAAACATAAGCACTGGCCATGGGGACTTTAGCCATATGACCCTTACCTTCCTAAGATCACCCTTCTTTAACTCTTGATCTTAGTCTTAGTTGCTCCCCTAGCTATTCAACAGGTGGGGAATTTTATCTTGCCCTGGAGTTCTGGATTAGAAAGAAGGTAGCATCCTGGAAGTTTTCCTCTTGGAAGACCATTCCACCAAGATAGCAAGCCCTCGTCTTCCTCATTGCTCTATTTCAAAATTCCTCCCGGGTACTAAATGTTAGTTGAGGGTCAGAGTCATGCTTTAATGAAGAGCCACTAATCATCTCAGGCTCTGCGGTAGAAACAAGCATGGGAGAAGAGAAGCTGTGAACATTGTAAACCCACCGTCTCCTTTTAGCCCACTATGTAAGGTTTCCATTCTCCTTGCAGCTGGTGATATCCTGGCTCAGCCATGGACAGTGGAGCACGTTTTAAGCCTGAGTTTTTCAATGTGTGTTATGTGATTGTGTTCCATAAGACATCAATAGGTGTTCTGTGCTAAAAATAAAGATAATAGGAATGAGAAACTTCTGTTGTTGTATATGCTACTTACATATTTTCTTCTAGATATGCCAGAACTTCTGATAATACACTATTGTGTAAGCACATGTAAAATTCTGTGAATAGTATTTGGCAAATAGGGAGGGACCATTTAATGGTTTCATAAAACCACTAAACTCTAGGTTTCATTATTTTATCCGTCAGCATAGGCATGTTTATGCTTCTGTAAAAAACAATCTCAAAATCTCAATGGTTTAGAACAACAAAGAGTTATTTCTTTATCTTACATGTTTATTACTTGTTGGCTGTGGGGTAGGAATTGGGGTCATCTTTATTCTGGAAATGGCATCACTTACAGATGCAGGAAGAAAAGCAGACAGAAAATGTGAACACTAGTACTTCTGCATGTCACTTCTACTCACATTTCGTTGGCCCAGGAAGTCACCTGTCTGTAGCTAACTTCAATAGCAGCAAAAATACATTTTTTTCAATATATCCAGAAAGGGAGGAAAATTGCATACTTGAATAGGTGGTAATAAGGCTTACATCGGCAATCATCTATATATTTATTTTTCATCATTATCATTATTTTTATTATCTCTATCAATATGTCTCTCCAAGAATAAAAAATTACACATTTTCAAAATTACTCAACCGAAGAATCACTCTCTTTTAGAGCACTGATTGGTAAGGAAAGCAGCTTGGATCACGCTCTTCTCTGCAATCACTTAGAATAATTCTCACTTTGCTCTCCCCTCCCACACTTTACTTACAGTTGTCTCATCTACTTGGTCTTTGAATGTTTTGCTCTCTCCCTTGACTTTAGATCATCTGACTTAGAAGCTATCCAGTCTCTCCTCTTGGGTCTTTGGACACCCACTCAGTTTTTGGCCTTGCCTTTGTTCTACTTTAGCACCCATTCTGCTCTCTATTCCCACTACGACCTCTTCTCAGCACACCCAACCCCATATACACCTCTCCACCTTGGTCAGCTCTGTCTCACACTTCAATCAAAGGAAAGAGGGAAAAATTCAGACAGTCAGCTATCAGCAAAGTATTTTATTGCAATGTATACTGACTGAGGGTCACGCAAACAGAATTCAATGTATTTTCGAAAACATGTCAGCTGCCAGCAATTTCCTGGAATAATAATTGCATCTCTCTGGGACAGGGGAATTGAGAGTTTATGTTCCTCATTTCTCCTTTTGCAATTGGCTGTTCTGTCTGGAGAAGTCGGATGAAATGACTGTAGCACCACGATTCTGGCCCACTTAAAACTTCTATTATGAAACCCAGTTGCATAAGCTATAAGAGCAAACAAGTTATATTCTCAGGAACAAATTCTAGTGAATCAGCTCATCTGAGCTTCACATCTTCATCTGTCTCTGAAGTGGCTTATTTAAATTTTAATAGAAAACGTTCTATGTGGGGCTCAAATGGAGGGAATGAAAATAACAGTTTATCTCTAAGACAAAATTGTGTCAGGAGCAAAAAAAAAAGAGAGAGAGAGAAATAGGATGCTAATTTCCTGGAAACAAACTCCCTATGTCCCACTTCGTAGAAACTGGACAAAGCAAGATAAAGCCTATTGTGCTGAACAAAAGCAGCCATGGTACGTTTGGAGACTCACTGTCCCTTTCTGTTTGGCTGCTTAAACGATCATTCAAAAAGGAAAAGTTTCCTTTGGGAAATGTGAGAAAAGCTTGCAAGACAAAGTTTGGCACTGTCAGGGGACAGTTGCAGAAGGAAATAGAAGCAGATATAGCATGGGGTGGTGAGAAGGCTTTTTGTTTGTTTGTTTTCTTGAGAGGGAGTCTCACTCTGTAGCCCAGGCTGGAGTGCAGTGGCGCGATCTTGGCTCACTACAACCTCTGCCTCCCCGGTCCTGGTTCAAGCGATTATCCTGCCTCAGCCTCTTGGGTAGCTGGGATTACAGGAATGTACCACTATGCCCAGCTAATTTTTGTATTTTTAGTAGAGATGGGGTTTCACCATTTTGGCCAGGCTGGTCTTGAACTCCTGACCTCATTATCTGCCCACCTCGGCCTCCCAAAATGCTGGGATTACAAGCGTGATCCACCACGCCTGGCCAGGAAGGTTCTTAATGAGCTTGGAAATAAAGATCTGGGCTCAAACACTGACTCTGCCGTTGCTAGCTATGTGGCTTTGGATGAGTCAATTGACAGTGGCAGGGCTAATGAAGAGCATCATAATGGCTCTCATATGGTGTTGTCCTGAGAAGGAAATAATGTGAGAAATCACTTGCCTAGCTGATGCTCCTCCAGGGGACCATTTCTCAGTGACCTTCACATGCTCCAGACCTGAAGTTGGCCACCTAGGACCCACAGGTCAAATCTAGGCTGCTTTCTGTGTGTAAAGATGGTCTCACTGGAACAGAGCCATGCCCATTTGTTTACTAACCTCTATGGCTGCTTTTGCACTATACGGCAGTGTTGAGTAGTTACAAGTGACCATATGGTCTACAAAGCCTAGAGTATTTATGCCCCGGCCTTTTGCTGGAAATTTTAGCAACAGTCACTCCAGAGAGTTGTGAAATTTGGGAGTCAGCTCAAGCAAACAGGCTTCCTCACTCCCTAATCACTCCTCAGTGCCGTCACTCCTCAGTTTCTGTGTCCTGTGAATCCTGCCTCCAAAATCTCTCTTGAATCTTTGTGACTCTCTTCATCTCCACAGCCACCCCCAGATCTAAGCCACCATCATTACTATACTGGCCTCCTATGGGGGCTCCCAGCAGCCACTGTGGCTTTCCTTTCCTGCCCATCTCTCTTTCTGTCTGTCTGTCTGCCTGTCTGTCTGTCTGTCTCTCTCTCTCTCTCTTTTTCTCTCTCTCTCTCTCACACACACACACACACACAGAATTTGTTCTTCAAACAACAGCCTGAGTGTGTTTTTTTTAAATGCAAATTATGCAAATTCCCTGCTTAGAATCACTCAGAGAATCCCCATTACTCTTAGGGTAAGAAGCAAAATCCTAACAGATCCTGCAGAATCAGATTCCCACCTCCTCACCACCTTAGACATAAGAAAAACTCCACAAAACTGGCTTCGGACTTCACCAGCCTTCTTTCTGTTGGTCCATTGAAGGAGGCCTGCTCTGCCTGCCCAAGACGTACACACAGGATGATTCCTGCTCTAGGAAGAGGCTTGTCCTCAGTCTCCATCCTGTCTTCCTGGATCACTCCTGCTCATCCTGCAGGCCACAGAATGACTACTCAAGTACAACTGTTTGTCCTGACCTTTCAGTACCCCAACCCTGGTTTACACTCCAGTAAACTCATAATTGGAAATAGACGTTCAATTTCATGCTTATTTTTGCTTAACTCCTCCTTCCTGAATGTAAGCTCTAGAGAGCAGGGTAAAGCCATACCCATGGCCACCTCTGTGTCTCCAGAGCACGCCACACTTCTTTACATATAGCAGTAAAATGCAGCAGTTGAGGGTGGACATACCACTAGGATGCCTGAATTTAAATCCCTCTACTACATGACAGCTGTGTGACAAAACCATTGAACTTCTTTGCATTTCAGTCTATGCATATGTAAAAAGCTAATGAACATGTATGGTATAATAGTATGTGGTAGGGTGTTGTGAGGAGTTTATATGAAAAACAGAACGGTACAAGCATATATTTAATGCTGCATGAATGCTTGACATTCTGATCAGGGGAGGTTGTCAGTGAAAATGGAATGGAGGAATGATTCATTTTTCCCCTCCTTCTCCAAGGAAGCATGTTTTTGGAGTGTGCTATTTAATCAGAAGTTCATATTTGTGCTCCAATAGCACTGGATTTAACTTTTTTCTCAAAACACCTGCCTTGCACCCCCTCTTTGTTTTTTCACATGCTGTTCTCTCGTCATCTCCAGTTTTGCTGGTGAATTCTAATAATCTATTAAAGCTCTGCAAATGCCACCTTCACCCTGAAGCCAACCGCTCCTCCTGCTTACTTCTACTGTCCCAAGGACAGCCAAGAGAAATTAACATCCCTTTCTACTGATTATAATTAACAGAGAGAGAGAGAAATAAGAAAGAGATTGCTCTTCTTTGTAGCTGACATGTATCATTGTTCCAAAAAGCTTTAGGTCAGTTGAGTCTACACAAGGTGATCAAAACTGTTACTATCACAACATTCACCAAACACAGTGTTTGTACCTTTAGTATAACATTCTCATTTTACTTCAATGTTTTTAGTAATCTACACATGTCTTCCCCAGAAAATTTCTATCTATGAGAGGGCAGGGACCATGTCTTACTCACCTTGGACTGGCCTGAGTGTTTTGTCCTCTTCCTGGCATGTAGTAGGTGCTCAGAAAATGCTTACTAATTTACGACCAGTGGTTGATTTGTTTCTGTGTTATCGGCACCTACTGCATCTCAGTAGGGTTTTGAAGAAATGTTGGTGGAATTGTGCCAAAAATGCATTTTTAGAAGTGACTTCTTGCTTTCTGAAAATAAACTTCAAGGACAAGCACCAATGCAACTCACTGCAAGAGAGATGAGGGTTTGCCACTTTTTGAGCTAGAGGGAAGGGCAAGAAGACTGTTTCTGAATGAGTCAGGGAGACCTGCTATGAAATGGACAGCTGGAGACAGCAGTGAGATTTTCAGCTGCTCCCACTTCCCAGGCCCAAGGTCAAATTGAAACTCTGGTTTCTAGGCATTTTAGGGTTTGCCTTCAGTGAGAAATTGCTATACATTGCAATGCTCTCCATTGCACTATTTTTTTTTCTAGACAATATGGTCCTCCTGAGATCCTACACACATATGCTGGGAGCCACCATGTATGGAGAATGTAGCTAAGTGCCGAAGATGCAGTGATGATGGATAGTCCCATCTGCCAGGTAGCTCGCAGCGTAAAGGAGGGAAGGGAGAGAGATCTGGAAAAGTATGGAAGCCACAGACTCACTAAAAAAGAACAGAAGTCATTGTGCATGGAAAGTGATTTGTTTAGGTTGTTACATAAAAAGTTTCAAAAATGTTTGTTGAAATAGATATTTTTCATTTTTATAGGAAATCACATTATAGTTTATATGTATATGTGTGTATGTATCACAATGTTAAAAGAAGTAACTCAGGTGAGCTGGATTTGGGGATCTCTCATGAAAAGAAAAACATTCCATATTATTTTGACTTTTTAAAATAGTAATCCTGCACTTTTCAAATTTTTTTAGTAGACAGATAAAATCATGTTTTTTTTTATCATGTACAACATGATGTTTTGAAATATATATACATTGTGGAATGGCTAAATCAAGCTAATTAACTTACGTATTACCTCACACAGTTGTCCTTTGTGGCAGTAACACTGAATATCTATTCTCTTAGCATTTTTCAAGAATACAACATATTATTTACTACAGTCACCATGTTGGTGATTAATATGGTTTGGTTGTGTTCCCACCCAAATCTCATCTTGATTTGTAATCTCCATAATCCCTTCATGTCATGGGAGGGACCCAGTGGGAGGTAACTGAATCATGGAGGTGGTTTCCCCCATGCTGTGATCATGATAGTGAGTGAGAGCTGATGGTTTTATAAGCATCTGGCATTTCCCCTGCTGGCACTCTTCCTTCCAGCTGCCATGTGAAGAAGGATATGTTTGTTCCCCCTTCTGCCATGATTGTAAGTTTTCTGAGGCCTCCCCAGCCCTGTGGAAGAGTTAGTCCATTAAACCTCTTCTTTATAAGTTATCCAGTCTCAGGCAGTTCTTCATAGCAGCATGAGAATTGACTAACACTGTGAAGAAATTGTTCTGCATCTTAACTGCATCAATGTCAATATTCTGTTAGGACAGAAGCCAAAGGAGACCAGTTACTCTCTCTACCCCCTAGTCCCAAGGGTTCCAGCACGTGACTGACACCAAGGCATGTGGATGACTTCAGAGTCACAGTAGTGATGGAGATCATCTGTCAAAGAGATTGATTCAAGGATCCACTGATGAGTGGTAAGTTTTCAGTTCAGAAATGGCAATCAGCTTCCTCACTGACTGGGTCTATGGTAGGTGGTGGTTGGGTCTTGTCTTCTGTGGTTTCTGTCTGATTTCTAAGGCTGTTTCTCCAGCCTTCTTACCAATTCTATGAGCATTTCCACCTTGCCTTCCTTCCATTTAATTCATTTCCTGTTTAAATAAGCCAGGGTTTGTTTTGTTGTTTGCAAACCACAAACACTGAGAGGGATAAGTATCTACTATGAGCAACTAACTGTAATTCCATTGTCTCTTCAATTGTCCAAACAATCCATTAAGTGGGCAGTATTCCAATACGAAATTGTGCTGTTCAAGATTCTAAATCTTGAAAGGATCTAAACATTAGAGTTGCTCTAACTAAAAGGGCTTTTAAATGATAATTCATTTATTAAATCAGCTCCTAATAATGTATGAATTTGCTGTGACTCATGGTACATGAAAATTATATGATCTGATGGACAGAAAATACCTGCTGTGGGATGTCTCAGTGATATTCTCTTCCCGAGTCATGATGGTTATAAGTCATTTACAAGATTTGGAAGACAGAAAATACTATTTTGAAACATCAAACTAAAATTGTTCAAATATACATGCAATTTCTAAATTTACATAATAATGGAATTTTTAAGAAGCCAAGAAAATATTCCCAACGAATGTATGCAGAAAATATTGAGGCTAATTCAAGTCAGTCTCACCCTCTCTTAATTAGTACTTTACTTTTTCAGTGTTGACAAACCTAAACTCCAGAAATAGTCCTACAATGAAATCTGCCAAATCACCTCCTCTGTGTTTTCATTTCATAGCTGAGGAAAGTGAGACTCAGATGGGTTATAAAACTTATGCCTAAGATATCACCCTAGTAAATTTGAGCCACAGCACTCACATTTATTTTTTTTCTTTCTTAGTCTCTCTAAGGGTAATTTTTCCAGATCTAACTTTTAGTTCACTCCTTTCTTCAGGTATGTTTGCAAAGTAATATCTAGTATATAATAAATGATATATAACTGTTAGCTGCTACTTGTTAGCTGTCATATCATCCTTATGATAAATCCCTTCTTTAATCTGTTCATCAGATTTTAACTTTAATAATTACATTTTTATCTCCAGAGTTCCCTTTCATTCTTTTTCCAAATCCTTTTCGTCATGATTGCTAGTCCATTTTTCCTTGCTATCTTTATTCTGTCTTTCATTTCTTTAAACGCAGTATTCTTAGGTAGAATGCCATCTGTATCTGATAATACCAGAATAATATTTGACCTCGGGGTCAAACTCTGTTCACAGTTGTTTAGACTGACTGACATCCTTGATGCCTTGCATTCATGTGTGTTTTGTCATTTTTCCCTAGGAGTTCTTACTTGCCTAAAGTTAACTTTGGCATACCCTGGAGGCTTTAAGCTGAAGATGCTGACTCCCCAAGATATTCTCCATCTGCTATTTCTGGGCAATAGGGATGGCTCTCCAACTAGGGATGCTTTAATTTATTGGCTTTATATTCTCTGACTTTAGGGATGATACTAAAGTAACCATAGATCCACGTGAGAACAGGCCTGTAACAGAGCTAACACATTCCACTGGAGACTAGTATTGTCACTAATTAAATTCTATCCAGAGTCATAGCCATGACACATATGCTTTTTTTGTTTCTTCAGTCTAGCTTTTCACTGATTGGATAGACTGTGTGAGAATGAACCTTTAGGAGGGCATCTCAAGCCCAGCATCCTCCCTCTTGCATGACCTCCATTTTCTCATACCCAGTATGATCAACAATCCTCAAAACTTCAGGCACCTGGTTGCATCATTTTACTCAGGATGACTGCCTTCATGATCACTCACCTCTCTGGTGTCAGCTCATGATTTGTTTGAGTTGTGATTTTCAGGACATTCCTTACTTTCTTGTGGGCTCAGCAATGCACAGGCAAGTGTGGTTTCTTTGTCATTTATTCAGCATGTATATATTCCAGAGTATAAAAGCTTTCCAGCTCATCTTGCCCACCACAGGGATGGCTCTAATTAAAATGCCTACTCTCCAGGCCCCACCAGTCAGGGAGAAAGAAGACCAGACACTTAACTTTCATCTCTCTTGCTCCCAGCCTTTTCAAATGCTCCCAGAAGAGTCCTGCCAAGCCCTAGGAGAATGTCTTACAGGTGATCTGAAGTTTATATTTCCACCTTTTCTTGTGTTCTCTCTAGATTGCTGTGCTGTTATTTCTGGTCACTGGAGACATCAAAATGGTCATTCTGTCTCCCTTGCCCACCGAATCACCCTCTGTTTGCCCCTGCTGCTGCTGCTTCTGCCCAAGACTCAGGACACCAACTTTTGGATGAAGAATGCCAATACCAAGAGTCACAGCACCATCCCATTCACTCTAGGCTGGCTCACCCTTGTGATCAAGACCACCATCCCGTGGCTATTGTCATCTTTGTTTTCCACTTCCACACCAGTCATAGGCAGACCACCTTTTTACTTATTGTCAGCAAGGGAGAGTCAGGGTCAAAGACATTCATTATCCCCATAAGCAACATGCTCTGAGCGCACCAGGCACTATGTAATTTCTCTACACACATCATCTCATTCATCCCCAAAACAATAGTTTATAATCCTATGGACTTCAACCAGGATCTTCCAGCTACACTAAGTTGTCTCTCACTATTTTCAAACAAGCGTCTAAATCATATAGTGGTTATGAATGCTGGTTCTAGAGCTACACTGCCTAGGTTTAAATTCTTGCTCTGCTGCACACCATGTGTGACCTTGAACAAACTACTATACCTGTCTCACAGGCTCAGTTTTTCTATCTGTTAAATGGAGCCAGTCAAAGGGCACACCCCATAGGGTTGTCAGGAGCATGAGATAAAAGGATCACTATAAAACATTTGGCTCTACCATAAAAAAGAATGAGTTCATGTCCTTTGCAGGGATATAGATGAAGCTGGAAACCATCATTCTCAGCAAACTAACACAGGAACAGAAAACCAAACACCGTTTGTTCTCATTCAAAAGTGGGATTTGAACAATGAAAATACATGGACACAAGGAGGGGAACCTCACACCTGGGGGCCTGTCAGGGTGTGGGAGGAGTGGGGAGAAATACCTAATGTAGATGGTGAGTTCATGGGTGCAGCAAACCGCCATGGTACATGTGTACCTATGTAACAAGCCTGCATGTTCTGCACATGTATCCCATAACTTAAAGCATAATAAAACAAACAAACAAACAAAAATGTTTGGCTCTATGCCTGGCACATTGGACATGCCAAATAAATGTTAGATACACTTTAAGTTTGCTATTATTGGTACTGCACATCAATACAAAAGTCAGTGAACACAAGATAGATTTTGCTCATTGTGACGTTTTCATTAAATGGATATTAAAAGTATAGTATGACAATGTCCATGCTAAAAGAGGGGCCACAGATACTAAAAGATCACAAAATACTGGCCTATGCTATGGGCATCCATACCTATCTCACAGGGTTGTTGTGAGGATTAAAAGAAAATGGAACTGGGTGGCCAAAGGCCCAGGAAGGTAACACCCATCTGTGCCCTTGATGGAGATCTAAGTCACGGGGACATGAGAGTGTGGGCTCTCCAACAAGAGCAGCTTGTGTGACAGAGATGGATGGAGGTTGTGATAAATCTCTTCTTATTTCCCTGATAGAGAGCTCAATAGGCCAGAGCTGTCCACTGGTTAAGAGTTCTAGAACAGTTGAGAGAGATTATAGCACACAAAGTCAAAACTTCCTCAGCCCAGGATCTCACAGTGGGTGACAGGGTAATGGTTTTCAGGAATCTCTTTTGGTTTCTGAGATTTAAAATGATATATATCAAAATAATATACTAGAGAAGAACAAAGGGAAGTCAAATGAAAGGCATAGACTTGAAGAAACACTAGGGAGATTATTTCTATAGTGATATTGTATATATACCTATCTCTGTGTGTGTGTATATACACACACACACACACACACTCACACACACACACACGCACCTATTTATCTGCACTTTTATCACCAGTCCCATCTTTCTCAGCCAATCAGGTCATTTTCTGCAGACTTGATAACCACCAGGAGATTTAACATTCTCTCTCTCTCTCTCTCTCTCTCTCTCTCTCATTCTCTCCCACCCCCACCCCCACCTCACTACTTAGTGTCTTTGTTTCCTGGGACATGGAGTCATCATTTGTACTCATTGAAATGTGTTGATAAGAACTTTGCAGAAAGAAAAATAGGAAAGTAAGAAGAAGAAAGAGAAGAAAACGAAACACATGAAAACACTTGCGTTCTAGTTAATAAGTAAGACAGAGCAAAGTCTAACAAACCCAAAGTTGTATATTTTTGGCTAGGAGCATATTGTTTATTTACTAAAGATGCTACTTACTCCTTCCCAATTTCTGTGAGACCATGGAACACCCTTTAGTGGCATGAATTGCTTTTTAATTCAGTAAATCTATTTTTAGCACCTGCTGTGCAGCAGGTACACAGCTGGATGTGTTGGAAAATACAAAGTTCAAAAAACATCTCTTCCCTTTCACCCATGTTCATACATGTCAACCATAATCACTCTTCAAGGCTCATATATGCAATTATTTCTGATACCCAGTATTTAGCACGTAGTAAGTACTCAACAAATATTTGCTTAGTGAACAAATAAATAGGTCTGCTTGAATGTCCAATTACAGTACAGGCACACCACAGTACCAGTGGGTAGAGACATACCTCTCCCTTCCTCTCCCTTTAAAAATGACTCAAGCCAGGCAATGACCATTAGCTTCAAACCCTGTTTCCTTCCTTTGAATCACCCTGGTTTTGGAGTTTCTCTTGCCTCCTTTGTCTCGGTACTTGCTTATCTCTACCTCAATTCACCACCTCGGTTCAGTTCTGGCACCTTCCCATAGTTGCATGCTATCAGCACATCTATTGAAGTACCTGCCAGTTGATTTTGACTTTGTTGCAATATTTCACATCAGGCCTTTTGGACAGGGGCGGAGGTGTGCTGTCAGCTTTCCAGAAAGAAACCTCCAGCACAAAGAGGGTTTCAGTTTCACTCAGCTATGCCTTCCACTCTACCTTACTGATTTTTAAATAGAGTATTGGCATGTTCAGAGCTGTGTACCTTTAGGGAAGATTGCCCTGAAAGAAATGGCAAAGAAAAAGAAATTAGTCTGGAGGCAGAAAGTTAAGAAAATATTCAATCATCCAAGTGAGAAGAAATGAATGAACTAAGAAGTTAATGAAAAGGGAGAATAAGAAAGAAATGAGAGCCACATTATGGGAAGCAAATGGCCTGGAAAAGTGATTGGATGAGATTTAGATTCAGCAAGCTATGGTGGACTGGTGATCTGTGAAGCACGGTGCTGTATCACAGAAAATGACCTTTATGGATCAGAGCTGCCAGAGAAGGTGCCGCAGAGGTGATGAATGGGAGCTGAGCACTCAATGACAAAGAGTAAGATGTGATTCCAGGTAGGAAACAATGATTGGGGAGCATGTGGTAGGAACCACAGAAACTACTATTGATCCTGTAGTATCCTTACTATCAAGGCTGATAGGGTTTCAAAGATATGCTGGACATCTCTTGTCCTTCTCTGTCCAGTACTCACTTCTTCTGAAAACAAAGCCCATCTTTCCAATGGGGAAGCAAATCATTGTGAATCGCCAACACTGACCACTCCCTTATCCTGGATACCAGAGTGAACAAATAATTCAGCCAGCTTTAGGACTCTATTACCCTGACCTCAGGACAGGTTCACGTATGGACAATAGGCCTAAAAGTATACAATTAGAATTATTTAAAAGATTGATATAATCTATTCCAGGGCATCAGAATTTGGATTTCTTTTTCTAGCTAAAATGAATGTAGTCAATTTATTTTCCCCCTCCTCTACCCTACACACCCACTATCATAGCCACAACGACAGTTGTATGTAATAAAAACCCAATGCCAAATAGCCTAAGAGCTTAAGAATATTAAAAAAAATAGCCTGGTTCCCAAGCTACTTTTCCTTCCACCATACCCTACTGTCTTCATCACCCTTATAGAGACTTCGGCAGAGTTATGTAATAGAGACAGTATATCCCCTCCAAGAAAAGAGATTTGTTCACTAATTACACAACTGTCCTCTCACTATTTCTGCTCTGTTACCTCTTGTTACCTCTTACGCAATTTTTTAACAACACAATTTTAAAGACAAGTTCATGTGATTACATTGCACATGCAGGCACCTATGCCTTAGAAATGTGCTACTGGCTTTTATTCATGACTGTTTTTATAGTTCTCTTTATTTTCCCACGCTAGGCTTTTCAAGGTAAAAGTTCAGTTGTAAAATTGGATACAGATTAGGGAGGAACCAATATCACCCTGTTGTAGAGCTGAGAAACTCTGTCAAGTAAACACCCACATTTTCTTCATTGAAGACACATGGCTGTGCTGGATTGCAGATGCTATTAGCACATCTACTGAAATACCTGCCTTTGCAGGATGAGAAGACATCTACATGCTGACATTCTAAAATGAAACAAACCTGTGTTGTTCAATTGTGGTGCTGGGAGTCTCTTCTATTATGATCTCCAGATTTAAAGAGTGTGTTTCTGAACACCTTTCATGAGGCAAATGTAATGTAGGTCTGGTGTTCACATGGCCAGTGAAAATCCATGATCAATAGATAGAGGTTTTACAGGACTTTTGAGAAAAACATTTGACAACTGCTTGGAATGATTTGGACAGCAATATTAAAATAAGCCTATATTTTAAAAACTGTTAATGAGAAAATGTATGCTACTAGACTTTTAGGAAAAATTAGGAAATCACAAGAAAATGTGCTGAACTCAAAGTATTTCAAAAAATAAAATTCCAAGGAAAAACTTAGACTCATCACATATACAATCACTAACATTTTTCTAAGCCCTTCGATTTACAAAGATTTTACTCACAGACTCTTATATAAGTTAGAAAGAGCTGCCACTATTATTTTTATCCTCTTTGACAGCTGCTGGAATTGGGGTGTAAGGTGGTTAAGTAAATCTGCAGAGGTCAGACAGCTAAGAAATGGGGAAGGCATGACGCAAAGAGCAAAGAGCACCCCTGCCTCTCAGTGCAGGAGGCAGCACAAAAGAAGATGGGATCTGAAATCCGGGCTTCCCAGACATTGGTCACAACTTCCTGCTACGTAGGCCTAGTTACTTAGTCATTTTAACATCCCTGCTCTTTCTCACCTGCTATGGTTGCTCCTTCTGCTTGGAAAAATGTCCCTACTTTATTCTCTTAAAAAAAATAATAAATCTTGTAAATTTGTTTAAGCTCCTTGTACATGCCTAAAGGAATATAAACCATCTATTGTCAAGATACATGCATGTGTACGTTCACTGCAGTACTATTCACACCAGCAAAGCCATGGAATCAACCTAAATGCCCATCAATGACAGACTGGATAAATAAACTGTGGTACATATACACCATGGAATACTGTGCAGCCATAAAAAGGAATGAGATCATGTCCTTTGCAGGGAAACGGATGGAATGGGAGGCCATTGTCCTCATCAAGCTAACACAGGAACAGAAAACCAAATACCTCATGTTCTCACTTATGAGTAGGAGCTGAATGATGAGCACACATGGACACATTGGGGAGAACAAGGCCCTGGGGCCTATCAGAGGGTAGTGGGAAGAGGGGGAGCATCAGGAAGGATAGCTAATGGATGCTGGACTTAATACCTAGATGACGGGATGGCTATGCAGCAAACCACCATGGTACACATTTACCTATGTAACATACCTGCAGAACCTGCACACATACTCCTGAACTTAAAATTTAAAATTAAAAAAAAAAAAAAAAAAAAAAACTTTATCAGCTCAATATCATCACTGCCCTTAGGATATCTTCCCTGATGCTCACGCCTGCCCTCAAAAGCAGGGTTATATCCCCCTCTGTGCACCCTATGCCTGCCCCAAGTCTCCATTGCACTTTTCAGAGTAACTGGTGGTTTATGTATCTTATTAGGGGTAGAGATATTATGAGGTGCAATTGTCTAATAAGGTTGAAAGCAAATTCTAAGGATGCCTAGGTGAGTCTCCTGCAGCAATGTCTTACTGTGAGACCTTAGGTAAGTTGGTGGGCCCTTCTATCCTTCATTCTCACATTTGTAAAAAGGATATTTATTAATTTCTTAAGGCTGCTGTAGCAAATTATCATAAACTTTGTGGCCAGAGACATCAGAAATTTATGCTTGGAGCCCCAAAGTCTGATATCCAGGTGTTGGCAAGGCCATGCTCCCCTGAAGGCTGTAGAAGATGATCTGGGTAGTGTCTCTTCCAGCGTCTGGGGGCTCTAGGTATTCCATGGCCTGTGGCTGTATCACCCCACTTTCTGCCTCCATGGTCCCATTGCCTCCTCCCCTGTGTGCTTCTTCCCTGTGTGTCTCCTATAAGGGTACTTGCCATTGTATTTAGGGCCATCTTCGATATTACAGGATGACCTCCTCATTTCAAGATACTTAACTAAATTACATCCGCAAAGACCCCTTTCCCGAATAAGGCCACAATCACAGGTCCAGGGATTTGCATATGAACATATCATTTTTGGATGATCCCTATTCAACCTACTACAAGGTATTATAACAGTTTACTACAGTTTCTATATTTGTATGGAATATTGAAGGAGATGATGCACATAAAGCTCTCAAAACAGTACCTGGCAAAGAATAAAATGTTCAATAAACGATGGTCATTATTATCATTCTGTTTCTTAGTGACTTTCACAGAGGCTGGCACATAAATATACTTCTTAATTCTTATTTTCCTGTTTTCTTAAGTCAGAGATGATGACTAGCACATCTTAGATAGATCCCTAACAGCAATGGCTTCAATGGATCATGCTAGTGAATCTTCCTTTTAACAAAGATTTTCAGTTAACCAGAATTCTCCTCCCCCATGACATGTGAACCTTGGCAGTGCTTCCAGTTGTAGCACTTTCTCAAGGGCACAGGGAATTTTGCTCCTTGCCGGTCCTCAAATAATGAATGACTTCATTTAAAATAAAGTTGAAGAGGTCAAGTGTATGTGATTATAGACATGGGAAGGCTATGAAAGCAACCATCAAATAACCACCCTGCAAGATTACAGACATGAGGATGGACAAAGGTTGGCAAAGACATGACTTACCCAGGTCATTCCTAGAGTTGGCAACAAGGCAGGATCTCTACTCATCCAGATTCAGCCCAGTCTCATTCTCACCAATGCTCTGCCTCAACTTGCTGACATCATTCAGTGCAAGAACTTATACTAACAATAATATCATCTATTTGAAAAAATGGAGGATCAGAACTAATTTATGTGACGACAAAATCTTACTCTCATAAGCTTTTAATACTCTATTCCAACAGACCCATGTAATGATATAGATAATAGCCTTATAATTTGCATTTTGTATTTTACTTTTATTTGGAAACACACCTCAGAAAACCAGCATATGATATTTCAGGCTTATTTGACACCCAAACATCCAAAGGTCCTCTACTTTTTTTTTTTTTTTTTTTTTTGAGACGGGATCTCACTCTACTGCCCAGGCAGGAGTGCAGTGGCATAATCATGGCTCACTGCAGCCTCAACTTCCTGGGTTCAGGCAATCCTCCAATCTCAGCCTCCCAAGTAGCCACAGATATGCACCACCATGCTTGGATAATTTTTGTATTAGTTTGTTGCAAAAGTAAGTGAGTTTTTGCCATTAAAAGTATTAATAATTGCAAAAAACATACTTAACTTTTGTACCAACCTAATACAATATCATTTATAATATTTTTAATAATATTTTTTATTGAGATGGTATTTAACCATATTGCCCAGGGTGGTCTTGAAGTCCCAAGCTCAAACTTTTTGCCCACCGTGACCTCTCAAAGTGCTAGGATTACAGGCATGGGCCACCATGACTGGCCCAGCTTTTCTTCCTAATAAGATCACCCTTTCCTCTTCACAAACTTTCAGCTCCAACAAAATGAAATGCTCACTAGCTCCATATCAATTCCATGCTTCCTCACTCCACACTTCTGTTCAAACATTTTTTTTTCTTTGTGTCTTGAACACCTTCTGCTCTATTTCTTCCTCGCCAAATCCTTTCATCCTTGAAGTCTCTGTTAAAATTTTATCTGCTCCATAAAATCTTCCTTGTTTCCCACCAACTTGAGGGTGACATTTCCTGTCTCTGAACCCTCATTTTACATTTTTTGCACCTTTCTTGTGGCATTAATCATTTTCTAATTTATATTTACTTACCCTCATTCTCTATCTCTCCCCTTAATTTATTAAAGTCACAGAGACATCTGTAAAATGAGAGTCAAACAAATAAACTGGAAAGTTCCTATGTCCACAGGACTTTCAGAGAGAAGTCAAATATGCAATCCTGATACCTTGGTCACAGCTAAATGGACCAAGCTGGAACCCCAGTTCAAGACCAGCCAATCCTTGGGTTGACTAGCAGCTACGAGGCAGCAGATAGGGGTGAGAGTGATATGCTGGAGCTGGCTTATGGGATCCAATTTTCCATTTTCAGGATTTGAGGAGCCAGGTGACATTATGTTGATAGATTGAAACCATCTATCGTAGGAGTATTTGTACTATGGAAATTGCCAACATACAGGTGTCAGAGTTTCCCCTACCCCCACCGAGCCTCCCACAGAGAGCTGCTTATTAAACATTTACCAGCACAACACTGATGATAGCAAACTGATACTTCTCCCTGGGCAGTAGAAGTGCGAGACCTAGAGAATGAGTCAGTGGTCCTTCACAGAAACAAAGGCAGAACTAACTCAGAGAGGAGGCTTTGTGTAAAAGACAAGAGACAGGCAATGGTAAGAGGCAGCAAAAGCCACAAGGCTGAGAGATAGGAATAGAAATGGCAGGTTCAGAATAAGCAGAGGCAGGGAGTGGTGGAACTGTGATGATGACAAATTCCTGGAATAGAAACAAGCAAGTGCCCCTGCCTTGGGATGATGACTAATCCTGCCTCCTGGACGTTTTGATGGATCCCACATGACCTTTCTAATTCCTGCTCATCTGCAGGGCTGGAGCTGCAGGGATTCCTGTTTTCCTTACTGTCCTGCCTCCCAGATAAACTCTCATCACAGAGGACGTGCAACCCAGAGAACATGACGGGGTGACAACTACACTTACAAGCTCATAAACTGCTTTCACATCTATCCTCACGTTTAATCCTCATGATGATTTTGGCAAGCACACAGGACACTAGCTCGTGTGACCCTCAGCCAACACATGAGATGAGGAAGCTGAGGCTCAGAGAAACTGAAAGCCTTGTCCAAAGATATGAGGCTGGAAAAGAGAAGAAATGAGATGTGATCCCAGGTCCTCTGGCATCAGGATCAGGAGTTCAGTCCACTTTTGGCATAGGTGAGCTGGAAAGTCCACATAAGATGGGCAATGCTTTAACATTTAGCCCTCTCAGTTCACGTCCCATGAAGGACAGCAGGGTTAGTCAACCATCGGAAGGAGCGAAAATACCAAAATATTTAAAAAGTGAGAGAAAAAATAAAAAAAGAGAGATAAGGAGAAAATGTGATTTGGAAGTCTGGGTATCACATATAAATAAATAATGTAATAAATAATTATGTACACACATAAATATACATATACAATATACATGTAATATCACATTATGTATGTTATGTGACACCAAACATACCTTGGTTAAAATCTCAGCTTCCCACCTTCTTGGCCATGAGAACTTGAACAAGCCACTTACCCTTCCTGAGACTCTATTCATAAAGTGGACATTAGTTTCTCTGCCTACTTTATGAGATTCCAGTAAAGCCTGATGAGCAAATACATGTAAAATACTTGACATGAAGCTGGACATAAAGTAATAATTTTATATATTTGATATGTAATTACTATTTTTTAAAAATAATTAAAACAATGAATAGCTATAATCACTTAGTTATTAATTAGGATCATTAATCTGCCTTTATCCTAAAAAAAAAGTCAGATAGCTAATGAAAGAGCTGCTCTATATAAATGAAGAGTATTTTATACATGTACACAGTCTACCAAAAATTAAAAATGTCATTGAAAACATACAGGGCTCAAAATTAAATGTCTTCAAATAAAACATAAAGCAAAAACAGCTGATGCTGGAACTTGGTCCCTGGGCAGGTTTGATTTTTGAAAATGACAAAGAGGCCAAATTATGCTTCGATTCCTGCCTGAACTGAGTGAGAGAGGGGCATGACTGCCTTGCTAGCAGCCTGCTTGAAGGAAGGATGCAGATGCTTAAACAAAGGATATTGTATGCTGGACACAGCTTTCTGGGCCTCTCAGCCATCAGGGAATTCTGCAGCCACATCACAAACAGTGTTGCTGAATTTTCCTTCCATTTTCTAAAATAGCAATCACCACAAAGAAGACACCTTAACGGGTGCCAGGAATGCAAATTTATTAGGCTGATCTGGGATAACAGTCCTTGCCATAGGCAGAAAAATCACCTATATTCCTGGAGACGTTCGTATGTGGCTTTATCACTTCCTAATAGAGCCTCTGCTAATATATTACAGAACTAGACTAATTCCATCTGAAGGATGAGTATCTTATGTTGGGACCTAGAAATTAGACCCAGAATATCTTTCAGGGGAGCTGTTTGAATATAACCCAAATATAATTCTTTTTTAATATAATTTAAAGCTAGTTAAAACACAAAAAATAAAGCCAAGAATTAAATCAACCAAATAGCACTCACCCTAACCAATGACCACCTTTTGCATATGTGCTTCCCAGCTTTTTTTCCTCCTTATGTCTGTGTTCACAGAATTGAAATTAGAGTATCTTCATGATTTTACAATGCAAATTTTCAGGAATTGGCTCATTGTATCACAGGAGTGGAACAAGAAATGGTAATTTGAAGGTATCCATCTTACCCCACGCAGGCAGGATGCCAGGTGCCAGAAAGTGTCATCACTAGAGAAGCCTCACTTCTTTGAGAAAACAATGTCTAGTTAAGGTGCTTCTCTTTGTATTCCAGGACGAGAAACAGCCCCATAGTGTTTTTTTATTATTATTATTATTATTATTTTGAGACAGAGTCTCACTCTGTGGCCCAGGCTGGAGTGCAATGGCATGATCTCAGCTCACTGCAACCTCTGCCTCCCAATTCAAGCAATTCTCTTGCCTCAGCCTTCCAAGAGTTGAGATTAGAGGTGCACACCACCATACCAGGGTAATTTTTATATTTTTAGTAGAGATGGCATTTCACTATGTTGGCCAGGCTGGTTTCGAACTCCTGACTTCATGTGATCTGCCCACCTTGGCTTCCCAAAGTGCTGGGATTACAGACATGAGCCCCATAGTGTTTTATCCCTCCCACCCAGGACACAAACTGATTCCAGGTTTTTGACCACATCTCAATGTGCTGCCACAGGGGGTGTTCACTCTGCCCAAAACTCTGTTCCTCACTGTCCATTTATCTCTCTGACTCCTTTTGACCACTCACTCAGATCTCATATTACCCACCCCCTCCACTAGCAAGCCTTTGCTGACCCTGACCTGCCCTGCCCCCTTAGGTTCAGGAGGCCGTACAGAACATTACAGCTGCGTCTTCCTGACACTTACTACACTATTTTAGTTTTGGTTTTCATGTCAATCTCTTTCCCAAAGGAGAGACATAAAATTACAGCCAGAAGCTGAGAAAAGGACCAAGAAGCCTGGTCCGTGCCGCCTGCCATGGATGCAGGTATGCCACGGTGGTATTTGAGCAGCAAGAGCGTAGGCCTGAGAGCGAAGTGGGAGCAGTGAGGTTCATGGGATAGCAGATGTGTCTGTCCAGATGCTCCTTCTTAGAGCTCTGTGTGGGTCTCCAGGCTACAGCTGGTCCTCAAAAAGAGTCACAAGGGAAGAAAAGGAATCTTCAAGAAATACAGTCATGGCTGGGTGCAGTGGCTCATGCCTGTAATCCCAGCACTTTGGAAGGAGCCCAAGGTGGGTGAATCATGAGTTCAGAAGTTCAAGACCAGCCTGACCAAGATGGTGAAACCCTGTCTCTACTAAAAATACAAAAAAATTAGCCTGGCATGGTGGCAGGCGACTGTAATCCCAGCTACTTGGGAGACTGAGGCAGAGAACTGCTTCAACCTAGGAGGTGGAGATTGCAGTGAGCTGAGATGCATCACTGTACTCTCAGAGTGGGTGACAGAGTGAGACTCCATCTCAAAAACAGGAAAGAAGGAAATGGAAAGGGAAAGGAAAAGGGAGGAAAAGG